CATTTTATAGTGTAAGGTTGAGTGGCATGAAGTACATTTACAGTGTTGTACAACTGTCACCAGAACATCTCCAGAACTTTTTGTCATCTAAGAACTTCTTCCTCCATACTTATTCAAAATAATTCCCCATTTCTCCCTGCTCCCACTTCCTAGCAACCACTATTATCCCTTCTGTCTCTACAGATTTTTCCTGTTCTATGTACTTCATATAAATGAAATCATACAAGATTGTCTTTTTAGTATCTAGCTTATTTCATTTAGCATAATGTCTGGGTTTGCCTGTGTTGTCATTTATCAGAATGTCATTCTTTTTAAAGACCAAATAATAATTGCATTGTATGCATCTACCATAATTTGTTCTTTTATTCATCATTCGATGGATATTGGATGGTTGCCTTCTGCTGAATATATTGAATATTGCTGCTGTGAACATTTTTGAACAAATACCTGTTCAGGTTCTGCTTTCAATTCTTTTGTGTATATACCTGGAAATGGAATTGCTGGGTTACATGGTAATTTTGTGTTGACTTTTTTTAGGAATTGCCCTATCATTTTTCTGCAGGTGCTACATAATTTTACCTTGCTACTAGCAATGCACAAGGGCTCCAGATTTTATAAATCCTGGCCAATACTTATCACCCCCCCCCTTTTTTCTTTTTTAATAATAGCCTTCTAGTGGTGTGAAGTGGTATCTTATGCTTTTGATTTGATTTCCCTATTACTACTGATGTTGAACATGTTTTGTGTGCTTATTTTCTTGTATACATCTTTTTTGGAGAAATGTCTAAGTCCTTTGCCCATTTTCTTTCAATTTTTCACATTTTTATTGGTGCATTATAGCTATATACCGTGATAGAATTTGTTGTTACATATTCATATATACACACAATAAAACAATATAATTTGGCCAATTTGGCTCCCCAGCACTGCCTGCCTTCCTTACCTACCCCATCCCTTTTCTCTAGTCTACTGATTTCCCCTTGATTTTCATGAGATACCACCTACCTTTCTTTTCCTTTTTCTTCTCTGTCTTCCACATATGAAAGAAAACATATAATCCTTGATCAGAGTTTGACTTATTTCACTAACATAATGTTCTCAAGTTCTATCCATTTTCCTACAAATTTTTTTAGATAAACCTTTTTTCCCCTTTTTTATTTGTTCTAATTAGTTCTACATTACAGCAGGATGCATTTCAACTTGTTGTCCACAAATGAAGCACAACTTCTCATTTCTCTGGCTGTACACGATGCAGAGTTGCACTGTTCATGCAGTCATACGTGTTCATAGGGTAATAATATCCATCTCATTCCACCACCCTTCCCACTCCCACATCCCCTCCCCTCCCTTCACTTCTCTCTGACCAATTCAAAGTTCCTCCATTCTTCCCTAGGCCCTCCCATTATGGATCAGCATCCGCCTATAAGAGAAAACATTTGGCCTTTGGTTTTGGGGGATTGGCTTATTTCACTTAGCATGATATTCTCCAACTCCATCCATTTACTTGCAAATGTCCTAGTTTTATTCTTCTTTAAGACTGAGTAATATTCCTTTGTGTATGTATACCACAGTTTCTTTATCTATTCATCTATCGAAGGGCATCTGGGTTGGTTCCATAGTTAACTATTATGAATTGAGCTGCTATAAACATTGATGTGTCTGCATCACTGTAGTATACTGATTTTAAGTCTCTGGGTATAAACTGAGGAGTGGGACAGCTGGGTAAATGGTGGTTCCACCCCAAGTTTTCTAAGGAATTTCCATACTGCTTTCCAAAATGACATAATTTTTTCGTCTTTATGGCTGAATAAAACTCCCTTGTGTTTATATACCACATTTAAAAAAATCCATTCATCTGCTGATAACCTTTGTCCATTTTTTACTTGACTTGCTTTTTTTGTTATTGTTGTATGGGTTCTTTATTTGTTAGACATTAACCCCTTTATCAGATGGGTGATTTGTAAATAAGTTTTTCCATTAGATATGTTTTATTTTATAAATTTAAAAAAATTTCTTTATTTATTTGGTACTGGGGAGTTAACTGATGGGTGCTTTACCACTGAGCCACATCCCCAGCTCTTTTTATTTTTTGTTTTGAGAAAGGGTCTCAATAAGTTGTTTTGGGCCTCACTCTGCGTTGTTGAGGCTGGCCTCAAATTTGTGATCCTCCTGCCTCAGCCTCTCCAGTCATTGGGATTATAGGCCTGCACCATCATGCCCGGCAGACTCGATGTTTTAAACAGCTAAATTGGGGTGGCATTAGTGGAAAGGGAAAAAAAATAAGGAGGGGTATGGGAATATGAATTGTCAGATTTGGGGTAAAACATCTTGTGTTTTGGGTCAGAATAGTTAGGATTTCTTTCCTTTTTTCTTTCTGTCTTTGGTGGTGCTAGGAATGGAAGCCAAGCCTTGCGCGGGCTGGGCACGTGCTCCTACAGTGCAGCAGCACTGAGCTGAATCCCTAGCTGGGTTAGGAATATTTTAAGCAATATATGCTTAAACTTATCTTTGTTTAAAAGATTTTCTTTTTTAAGCCATTGTTGTCAATATTTACTTTTCTGCCAGGTATCTCAAGCAGTTTGAACTTTGATGAGGAGGATACTGATGGTGAGGAAGAAGAAGGAAAAAAACTAAGTTTACAGTCACCATATTCAGAAACAGAGAGACCCAGTTCTGCATCCAGCCAGAAATCAACCACAGTATGTAGTTCTGAAACTTCTTCCTTTGGAGCTAATTTGGCTATTTCCCAAATAATCAAATGTATTAAATATGATTACTGATTGAGGATTCCTTCAAAAGTTGTAAACTCAAATTTAGACTTAGAAATTATGACTTCAATTGTTCTGTCTTAGGTTAGCCACTGTAAGGTCATGTCCTGTTTTTTTTTTTTTATTCATTTTTTAGTATTTGGCGGACACAACATCTTTGTCTGTATGTGGTGCTGAGGATTGAACCCCCGGCCATGCGCATGCCAGGCAAGCGCGCTACCACTTGAGCCACATCCCCAGCCCCAATGTCCTGTTTTTTATTAAGTGTCTTCATTACTCTGAATATCCATGCCTTGTTTGGTTATTTAGTGTCTTGTGTTTTGTTGGAAGACTAGAGACAAGGGAGAAATCAGTACTTTTTGCAGAGAGTCTGAGGTTTTCTTACCCAGCCTATTGCTCATGTGTGGTAATCCTTTCAGGATCCAGGAGCTTCCAGTGCTGTGTCCCAGCAGGTTGACAACCAGCTGGGAGAAGTGGAGAATTTGGAGGATTTTGCCTATAGTCCCGCCCCTCGAGGTGTCACAGTGAAGTGTCGGATAACCAGGGATAAAAAAGGAATGGATCGGGGTCTCTTTCCCACTTACTTTATGCACCTGGAAAAAGATGAGAATCGGAAGGTATGAGAATTGATTCCTAAGACAACTTTTTCCCCTCTTTTTCTGTGGTGCTGGGGATGGACCCCAGGGTTTGTTAGGCAAGCACTACCACTGAGCCCCTGAGAAGACTCTTGAGAAGACTTGCAGGAATAGATTGTTGGTGAGCCTCACAACAGGGAGATAAACCTGATAGTTATCTAGTTGGTTGGAAGTGGATTGTGTGTTAATCCCCAGACATGTTTTCATTGTCTTCAAAGAACTATAGTCAAATAGCCAGGATCTATCCTTCCCCACCCCTGCCTGGCCCCAGGGAAAAGACTTATCAGTATGTAGGATAAATAGAGGAGAATTTTTTTTTCATGCTGGGAATGGAACCTAGGGTTTTGCACATGCCAAGCAAGTACTCTACCACAGAGCTATGCAGCCCTAGAGAAAGGTTTTTGTTTTTTGGGTTTTTTTTTAGTTTTAGGTGGACACAATATCTTTATTTTATTTTTTATGTAGTGCTGCTGAGAATTGAACCCAGTGCCTCAAGCATGCTAGGCAAGCGAGCTACCACTTGAGCCACAACCCCAGCCCCTAGAGAAAGTTTTAATGTAATTCTTTTCCCCCCTCTCCTATTATTTAGTTTTGGTTAGTTTTTCTTTTTATCTTGGTAGAACAGGACATGGAAAGGAGAACAAGTTTTAGGGAATAGGAGGAATTGGAAATATGAAAAGAGATGCAAGTTAAATGTCTTGTTTCTTAGCCTAGACATTCTAATTTATGTTTGAGGCAAATTGTGTGGGTGGCAGATACTGAGGATTGAACCTAGGGGCTCTTTACCACTGTTACCACTAAGCTACATCACCAGTTCTTTTTTTTTTTTTTTTTTTTGAGGCTAGCCTGGGAATTATAATCCTCCTGCCTCAGCCTTCCAAGTTACTAGGATTATGGGCATGTGCACCATGCCCAGCAAGTTTGAAGCAGTTTAATACTTGCTAATAAGCAGAGCATTTTGGACTAATTCTAGATATAAGTGGATGATTTTAAGTGCTTAGAAATGAGATGATGATGGTAGATATTATTCATATAAACACTACTTATTGAGGGTTAACAATATACCAGCATGTTAACACCTACAATCACTAAAGCCACAGGGAAACACAACAACAAAATACAAAAAGAAGTTTTCAAAAACAGCTACAGGAAGGTGTTCAGGATCCTGTCTCTCCTACAGATGAAAAGACTTTTTCATGGCATTAGATGATGATTCTTTTAGAAGTTACTGGAAGTTTTAAAAATAAAGGTGTAAAGACTTATATGGAGAGTCAAGTTAATGAGTTCATTAAAAATGTACAGGAGGCAGGCTGGGGCTGTAGCTCAGTAGCAGAGCGCTTGCCTAGCATGTGTGAGGCACTAGGTTCAATCCTCAGCACCACATAAAAATAAACAATAATATAAAGGCATTCTTCCATCTACAACTATAAAAAGTAAATAAAAATGTACAGGAAGGAAATTGTGATAGTTTTGGTGCTAGTGACTCAACCCGGGGTCCCACGCGTGCTAGGCAAGCCCTCTGCTCTATGCCATACTCCCAGACTTCCTGATATTGAATTCTGAGAAGCATGAAGGATTTAGAAAACAGGAAAAGAGTGCTGGGGTGTAGCTCAGTGGTAGAGCACTTGCCTAGTGTGCATGAGGCCCTGGGTTCAACCCCCAGCACCAGTTTAAAGGTAACATGTAGCTAGGCATGGTGGCACATGCCTGTAATCCCAGCAGCTCAGGAGACTGAGGTACGAAGATCATAAGATCAAAGCCAGCCTCAGCAAAAGCAAGGTGCTAAGCAACTCAGTGAGAAACTGTCTCAAAATAAAATTACAAAAAGGGCTGGGGATGTGGCTCAGTGGTCGAGTGCTCCTGAGTTCAATCCCTGGTACCCCCCTCCCCACCGCAAAATAATGGTAGCATATGACCAAAGTTTGTTTTTTTCTCCTTAAAGTCTAAATAAAGGGAAAGCAGTTTCCCATTAAGAAAAAAAGAAGGGGGCTGGGGATGTGGCTCAGGCGGTAGCGCGCTCGCCTGGCATGCGTGCGGCCCGGGTTCGATCCTCAGCACCACATACAAACAAAGATGTTGTGTCCGCCAAATACTAAAAAATAAATATTAAAAAATTCTCTCTCTACCTCTATCTCTCTAAAAAAAAAAAAAAAAAAAAAAGAAAAAAAGAAGGGAAAGAGAGGGACGGAAAAAGGAAGGGAGGGAGGGAGGGAAGAAAGGCAGGAAAGGAAAAGGGGAAAGGGAAAGGGAAATGACCCAAAGATTGAGTGCTTGGTACATGGTAGATATTTGTAAAACATTTGCTGAAGTAATAGGCGGAACCTTGGGGGTTCACTTGATTTCATTTTTTGATTGACACGTTTTCTTTTTCCAGATATTTCTTCTTGCAGGTAGAAAGCGGAAGAAGAGCAAAACATCCAACTACCTGATTTCCACTGATGCAACAGATTTATCTCGTGAAGGGGAAAGTTACATTGGCAAACTCAGGTGACAGCAGCCTTATATCACTATCCTATTATTTCTGATACCTTCATTCCTATGGTTTCAGAACAGTCCATACGCTTTTTAGTTTTTACAATCAGTATGTATAGATGTGGAATCAAAAACGAAAACAACAACGTTAAAAGAAAATCTTAAGTCCCTTCCTTGTCTAATGAAAGATCTTTGAAAAAGTGATGATGACCCTTTGAGCATTTGGAGAGCAGGCAGCTAGGCCTCCCTTCTACTGCTTAACCTCTTCTCTCCTAGTTAGGAAAATACACAGATCCCATTGTGCCTTTTTCTCCTGACACTAGATCCAATCTCATGGGGACCAAGTTCACAGTGTATGACCATGGAGTCAGCCCAGTCAGGGCCCAGGGTCTGGTTGAAAAGGCGCACACGCGGCAGGAGCTGGCCGCCATCTGCTACGTAAGTGACCCTCCCAGCATACCCTTTCTCCTTCACCCCGAGCACCCTGCTGGTGCCACCGCCAGCCGCCCTCCAGGCTCATTTCCATTTCTCTGATCCCTCTTTCTGCTGCTGGTATCGTTTTATTCACATATTCATGTTTTGATTGTTTAATTGTGAAATTATTTATGTAGGAATTATTTTTGACTTTTGTGCTGTTTCTTGCCTCATCTACTCTTCTCTTTTCCTAATGCCACTTAATTCAGACCTTCCTGACCTTTTCTCCATTGACCAGAAGTTAGAATACAGTAAAACCATCTCTTTGCTTTTAATCCTTCCTTCTTTTCTTCCCTTCTTCCTCCCTCTCTTCCTTCCCTCTTTCCATTTCTCAACTTGATTTCCTTTTTTTTTTTTTTGTATTTTATTGAGAGACAGGGTCTCATCACTGAGTTGCTCAGTGCCTCACCATTGCTGAAGATGGCCTCCTGCCTCAGCCTCCTGAGCCATTGGGATTACAGACATGCACCACCGTGTCTGGCTCTTTTATTCTTGATAGTCTTACCAAGTTGCCCAGGCTATCCTTGAACTCCTAGGTTTAAGGACTGATTCAGCCTCCCAAGTGTCTGGGATTAATTATAGGCACATGCCACTGACCAAGCTTCCTAATTTTCATTCTCTTTATTTAATTACACAAAGTAATAAAATTATTTTTGGTATTCTTGACATTGTTACCGTTTGCCGGTGTGTTGGTACTGGGGATTGAACTCAGGGGCACTTATCCACTGAGCTCCATCCATAGCCCTTTGCATTTTTAAATTTTGAGACAGGGTTTCACTAAGTTGCCAAGTCTGGCCTTTGACTTGTGATCTATCTGCCTCAGTTTTCCATGTGTCTGGGGTTACTGGAGTGCACCTCTGCACCCAGCCATCGTCCGTATTTTTTTTTTTTTAATTTTTCTTAGTTGTGTATGGACAGCAGGCCTCTGTTTTATTTGTTCATTTCCATATGGTGCTGAGGGTCGTACCCACTGCCTCACGCACGCCAGGTGAGCACTCCTCTGCTGAGCCAGAGCCCGGCCCATTGGCAGCATGTGTGTGCCTAAGGAAGCCTCATGTTAGGACAGACATGGTCTCTTTTTCTTTTCTGCTTTCAAATTGTGCTTTATTTTCCCATCTTCCAGGAAACAAATGTGCTTGGATTTAAAGGCCCTAGGAAAATGTCTGTGATTATTCCAGGGATGAATATGAATCATGAGCGAATCCCGTTTCGGCCACGAAATGTAAGTAAGGACAGGCTTGATTGGCAAAGGGCTCAAAAAGACAATGACATAACACAGAAGAGATCAGCACAGAGAAAGTGTTGATTCGTTCAGATCCTGAACTGGAATATGCTCACACTCTTCTTTAGGAGAGCCGTCGCCCAAATTCTCAGGATAATTGCAGTTCCAGAGATGCTAGTGAAGTCATTGACTTGAAATCATTTCTTCTGCAAAGAGAAATGCTGGATCATATGTAATAAATAACAACAACAACAACCTGGCTTAGTGTTGAATTTAACTCTTAATTTACCCTTTCTGAAATGGAGAAAATATTTACCTACTTCTGCCTTAAAATAAAATAAATTTGTTATTATACTTCTCAGTACAAAGTAATGATTTTACCTTCCACCAGGATCATGAGAGTTTGCTTTCAAAATGGCAAAACAAAACCATGGAGAACTTGATTGAACTGCACAATAAGGCCCCAGTCTGGAATGACGACACTCAGTCCTATGTGCTGAACTTTCATGGCCGGGTAACTCAGGCATCTGTGAAGAACTTCCAGATAGTTCACGAAAATGACCGTAAGCCACAGGAAGGGCTTTGTGGGAATGGGGACAGGGTTCTGACAAGACAGAAATGATTGCTTCCTATAACTGATAGGAAATTATATTCAGGAGAGAATTACTTCAGAAAGAAAGGATTTGTCTGGAAAGACAAAACTAGACTTTTAGAAGAAAACTTCCCAATTGTTGTTGAAGCCAGGCATGGCAATACCTGCTTGTTAATCTTAGTGACTCAGGAGGCTGAGACAGGAGGATTGCAAGTTTTGAGGCCAGACTCTCCAACTTGGTAAGACCCTGTCTCAAAATAAAAAGGGCTAGGAATGCAACCCTGGGTTCAATCCTTAGTACCAAACAAAAGAAAACAAAGTTTTTGTATCCTCTATATATTTCCTATTGTATCATTTCTTTTTCTTTGTTTTGGTTTTGTTTTAGGTTCTTTCATGTTGGGGATTGAACTCAGGGCATCAATACATGTTAATCACATGGAAATCACTGAGTTACGCCCTAGCCCACACCCACTTTGTTTCAGTTTTCTAATTTAAAGAGAACTGGTGATAAACTGATCCTGAGTTTTGTTTTGTCCCCTGTATCTAAAAATATATTGGGTTTTTCCCTAGTACAATCACATTATGGTCTAACCTCCAAATTTCTTTCTTTTTCTAGCTGACTACATAGTCATGCAGTTTGGACGTGTGGCAGATGATGTGTTCACGCTGGACTACAACTACCCGCTGTGTGCACTTCAGGCCTTCGCTATTGGGCTTTCTAGCTTTGACAGCAAGCTAGCGTGCGAGTAAAAAAAGCAATCAGAGCTGAGCTCGCTTGCTACAGAGCTTTCAGGAGCAGGAAATCGCCACCTTGACCTTGCAGAACATGAAGAGCAAGAGTATGACTCTTTTGGAATGACCCCTGTGTGTGTGTGTGTGTGTGTGTGTGTGTACACAGTCATGCATATACACATGTATGTATTATATGTACACACACACACCCTTCTCCGAGCTCCAGAGACTTGGTCAGGGATCACAGCTTAGCTTATTTTGGGTGAGAGAGGGTTTAAAGCACAGACAGATTCTTGTCAGGAGTTCATTAGTGGCTCCTGAAGTTATCACCCAACAGATTCTGTGCCTCAAGAGTGAGATTCTTATGCTTGGAGATTTGCAGCAGAATCAGATTCTAATGATTAAATACTTGGGTCTCTTTTTTAGAAGGCCTTTTCAGAGAGTGATGGTTTCCTAAATTGCCTTTAGTCTCCCGGGCAAGAGCCTACAAACTTTGTCTTCAAATGGCCTAATAATCTCTCTCACAGCTACTCAAATCTGCCTTTGCAGTGCAAAAGTAGCCATAGATATTTCATGCACAAACAAGTGTGGCTGTGTTCCAATAAAACTTTATTTACAAAAACAGGCAGCAGGCCAGATTTGGCCTGTGGGCTCCAGTTTGCCAACTTCTGCTTCAGGTATATCCATATGCTTTGTGGGCTTGAACATCTTCCAGAAGGGGCCTGTCTGTGATCATGGAATCGTGAGTAGAAAATGACACCCAGGAGCAACAGTTTTATGGATTGTACCTTAAGGGGTACTTGTGCTACAGCCATTGTTATGTAGCTTTTACCTTGTTTTGGTGCCAGTGGCTCTAGATTGTTGTCTACCATAGGGACCAAGAAAACCCAAAGTTAGTGATCATTTTGAGCCCACACAGGTGATTGAATTCTGCTCTCCCATCATAAGCGAAGGTAGAGCCTGCACTGTACTCCCCTGGAAGAAGACCTTATGTGCACCAGGAAAACAGCTTAGAAGTGTGTTTTCTTTATCAGAGGGAGTGTAGTATTTGTTTCTTGGGACCAGCTTCTTTTTCCATGGAATGGGAAGGTTCTAACATCACAGTTCCCCTTGTTTTCTTCCCTCAGGGTAGGTGGGTAGGCAGCAATCTCAGTGGCTGTGACAAGATTTGTGATCAAC